CTTCTAAATTGGCGTTTCAAATAAATACAACTTTGGTTTTATTAGAAAAATCAAAAATACATCTTGACCTGGACGCTACATATTACAAGGAAATGCTTTAAAGACATGGTAAAGACTAAAGCATCTTCGAGTATCGGATAATGCGGAAAGATTTCTAACGTATATGCCTTTCATGGAACATTCATTACTTGAATAGATTGCAGCATGTCAGAGACAGCAATTACTAAGTCGCCTGATTTAATCATTCCCCGGGATTTGAGCAAAGAGAAAGTCTTGTTGAGGTTGCTTTCCATATCATCAGAAAAGCTCAAACGGAATGGAATGAGTCCCCATTGCAGATTCAGTCGTCTGCGTACAGACGTAGTGGTAGTGAATGCAAAAATGGGGCAGTCAGGTCGACAGCGTGATAGAAGAGATGCCATGTGACCTGCCTTTGTGTAAACAAAAATAGCATCCACCTCCAAATTGTTGGCTGTAATATAAAGAGCCTGAGTTAGTACCTTCAACCAGAAAAAAATAGTAAACCTGAAAACCTGCAAAGGGAAGAGTTTCTGATCCGAAGACCTCCTATCTTATTTTCAAAAAAAGAAAACAAACTTTTCATGCCATATGTAATTCGAGATATCATACTAAAATGGATAAGAAATGAGAATATACGCCAAGAAGTAGAAGTGGTGCCAATTGAAGATACATCAAGGGAAAGACGACTAGGGTGGTCAAGTCTTGTTTTGAATCAACCTAAAGAGACCCCGTTTATAAAAGTGATGCAATTTCATTAGAACAAGTTGGAAGAGGGATGATTAAACAAAAATTAACATGGTCTCTGCTGTAGTTATCCAAACCTTGTTGTCGTCTCCCATATAGAAAGGTCAGAGCCTGGGGTTTCTCTCTCATTCAGGTAGTAAATATGAAGAATAAATTAACTTGATGTTGCTAATCACGAGGAATCTGAAGAAAAATATTCTTACCCATTTTAGCAGCAGAGTTGCATATCTCTTCAGAAATACTGTCCGCAAAAGAAGAAGCTATGCCCGGGAGTTCCATAGCTTCATGTCGTTTCTCGTCTCTCCACCACTTCTCAATTCTCAGACTGACACTTCTTAGAACAGTCAATGCCTTCTCAGGGTACTGGCCCATGGCAGATTCACCAGAAAGCATTAAAGCATCAGCACGCTGGCGAACTGCTTCGGAAACATCAGCCACTTCAGCTCTAGTAGGGGTAGGGTACTCTATCATAGAATCAAGCAACTGAGAGGCTACAATAACGGGCTTATTTAATTGCCTGCACAACTGGACTATTCTTTGCTGTTCTGATGGAACCTGTTCCAATGGGATCTGAGCACCGAGATCTCCTCTGGCCACCATAGCTCCATCCGATGCTTGAATGATCTCCTCCAAGTTCTTCAATGAGTCAATACTTTCTATCTTCGCAATCACAGAAATATCACTGCATCACGGCACCAATTCCTTTTTAAGTTACATTTAGAATAATTGTCCAATCTTTAGATGGAAGTACTTTTTTTAAGTTGCTTATAATGGATTGAAGTTCCCAGAGAAGACATGCAACTAAAGTTTTCAACTAGTTAATTAGCATGATGCATGTAACCAGGATGAGCAATGATTGAACAGGCTTCATGGCTATCATAACCTACATCAAAACTGTGCAAACCCCATCCACATATGACCAAAGTAAAATAACATAAAAAGCACAAATTGTATAATTTTTCTGCTTGTGTGTGTTCGTGTGGGTATCTTGGTAGGTGGCGGCATGAAAAAGAATAATATATGTAATATATGCTGAAATAATGAAACTTCACAGGCTAAGAAGTTGAAGGGTCTTTGGAAAAAATGATGTATAACTAAGCCCGCTCAAAGTTATTCTGGAAAACACCCACTCCACCCCCAGAAGAGCCAAGTAGGCTTGACCTTTGCAATGAGTAGTCTGTTTATTACCAAATAAAGCAACTTACCCATCTCGAGCCCGTGCTTTAATATAGCTCTTGAGATGCTTTATAACTTCAGCAGACTTGACAAATGATATAGCAATAAATTCAACACCCTCAGCAATCCCAAAATCAATGTCCAACCAATCCTGAAGAAACATAATTCTCAAGGCTGAGTGTAACTGTAAAATTTCACATGTATAATATCTCTCAGAAAGGACAGCACAAACACGAACATGTTCGTGAAGTAACCTAAAAATGAAGAAACAACGTGCACAATGAGTCAATGGCAAAATTGAATTCCACCATGGATTTAAGAATGGATACTATTCACTAGCCATTCAGGCACTTCAAGGTATAGTTTGCTGGTCTTCCACAACAGCAATAAACCTGAGTTGAATTTAACTCTTTCAGACGAATAACATTCAGCAAAAACAATGGTGACCATTTATATTTCTTTCCAAATTCTGATATCTAATAGATCCTAAGATTAGTTGATGAATAACCTAGTTAACATGTACTTAAACAGGCTGTAAGTTCTTCATCTACCCTAGACAACTATTACTAGTGATCCAATGTCAAAAAATATATCAAGAAGTGGTAAGTCAAAGCAATATAAATTAAGGCATCCAATAAAAACATGTTCAGAAGTAGATTCCCGGAGCCAGATGAAGAGACGCTGGATGATTAGATTAAAGAGACAACAACTCAAAACATGTCTTCTTCCTCAATTTGTGCTTAATCAACTCAAAATCTAAGCATGCACACATGTAATGAGGAGGTTCAATAGCTTCGAAGAGACAAATCATTATATTGAAACCAAACATTTCTTTAAGAGATACCAGATCACCAACGAAAATCCAGAAATTTTTCTCTCACGGCTAACGAAGGTGTTGCACTCGTAGTTTGAATATATAATATTTGAGCTGAAAAGTAGGGGTGACAAAGCAATATTCAATAATACTAAACAAAAGTAAATTATAATAATACTTTCTTAGAAAGTACTCCCACCATCTCACGTTGTTTGACGTGCTATTTTTTATGTCATACGGAGAATGTCAACCATCCAAAAATATATATATATTCAATTAGATCCAAAATTGGTCATTCAAAGTTATTAATAGCTAATTGAGAAAATATGGTGGATCTATGTTCAAAATAATTTCATAATACGTTGAAATTTGTAATACCAGTGGTGAGGTGTCAAAAGAAATAGTGACTTTTCTTGAACATTGTGCGGAGAGGTAGTAGTCAATTAAGTGAGGCCTCTCTTGGAGGCCCATTTATGATAAACCAAAGCTTCAGTTGGAACTCCCAACGTTTGGAAGAACATATAGATTTCAACCATTAACTTCAGAAGAAGGAAACTTTCTAAGAAAGCATAACTGGGCATAAACCTTAGAGGAAATCGTAGGGAGCATTGCATTGCGTTCCCGTACTAAGCTCCCATCACGCCAAAAGGTAAGATTAGCTCGAGGTAACAGAAGTCCAGGATCTGTACAGCGACACTTGACATCTGGACCAATTTTCTCAAACACCTCAAACCTCACCATTCCACCATCTACTAGAAGTTCATCACCCACTTCCACATCTGTCATGTAAAGAATCTGGTCCCAACTTAGTTAACATGAAATATAATCTTTTCTACATGTTCATTTAAATATATATGCTTCATACCCTCAGCGAAGCCACCATAGTTCACATTAATAGTGCGTTCAGGAAGAGGCGAATCAAAAGCTCGAACGCTAAAGGTCCATATTTCACCATCCTGCGTAAGAAACATAATTCATAAAATTAAACTTCTAACAAGAGATTGCAAAATGGATTTTCAAGTTGGCAATGCGCAAGATATTTTCCTTTGTTGCTTCTTCAAAGCTCAAATGAAGAGCATACCGCCTATCTCTCCAAGAAAATGACATTCAAATAAGTTTCAAACAAATATAACAAATGTTCTACATAAAAAATGAATAGGCTCTATAGATTATGGCCATGTTTGGTCCACATTATTTTTTTCATTTTCATTTTTCTACTCATTTTCAACCACACATTTTTCAATAAAATAATATTTTTCATCACATCAATAATTTTTCTTTCTTTATCAACCACNATTATTTTTTTCATCCTCATTCTTCTACTCATTTTCAACCACATTCTTCAATAAAATAATATTTTCTATCACATCAATAACTTTTCCTTCTTTTTCAACCACATATTATATATCACATCAACAGTAAAAATGCATTCTGGTAATGTGCACCAAACGGGGGCTATATTTAATTTATCTTAGGAGTTTTGATAATAGGCTCTACTTTTTCAATATGGCGAAACGGGTGCATGTGAAATCATATAATAAAAAGGAAGAAGAAGAACATTTAATTTCATTTAAAATATAAAAAAGAAAACAGCAATAACGTGGAACAAGATAATGCGAGAAGGGGTTTCTTGTTTTTGTTTAGGCTGAATGAGAGTGATGGAGGGAATCATCCTAACCATCTTAACCCCAAGTTCTAATTACCACCACTTCAACCATATAGGAATGGCATCTATATAATGATATAAATTGAAGAAGTAAAAAGGAGGGAAATGTGATATAAGTTAAACACAAAGGCTATTCAACTGTTACATTAGAATTAATACCATCGGACAGAATAATTGATAGTATGACCACTTTCCAAATAATTCTGTTTTCCCAATTTTTTTAAGTCAAAAATCAGGAGGAAAAAATGGTTCAAAACTAAAAGCATGCCACCAGGCTTTCATGTATAAATTTCACATTTGTCATCATTTGGACATACAGTCTATTATAGTACATAATAATTGTAAGTATTCAGCAATTTCCAAAAGTCTAGACATGAAAATAATATATCGCCATGAACATAAAGCACCATCAGATGTTGAACAGATTTCTCCCTTACTGACAAGTACTACGTATTATATGCCAAAGGCGATCAGCATTTGATTGTAACACAACATAGAGAGTCTCAAGTTTCCAATTAAAACAATATAGAAAATGACAAACTGACAAGGACATAGATATAGCTGTTATAATCCTACAAATGAATCATAGGATTGAAAAGGCATATTCTTATATGAGCCTTGGCATTTCCTCTTCTAAAATCACAAGCTAAATGATTTATTTGTAAACTTCAGTAGTATATTTTTGTTCATATGTAAAATTCAGATTCTCTATTTCAAACACTTAATGAGAAACAATTCCCTGCTTCTCTTTCATAATGGTGTATATGTCACCTATCAAAAAAAAAATAATGGTGTATATGGCACTCAGAGGAGGAGTGATATTAAGATCCACCTTTTGAATCTCAATCCTTCTCAACAATAGATCTTAAACTTTCTTTTGAAGACTTTCAGAGAGATTGATGGGCACATAATTATCAATAAACAGGATAATATAGACATAATAATAACAGTTGAACAAACTAGGTATTCCATATTTTGGGCAAAAAATTATGTAGTTTTTTCTTATGAATAATAAAATCGAAATAAGTCACCATCAAAACTTTTAATACTATACTGACTAGAGTAACTGATTACTGATATAAAAAAGCCTTAAATGGAACTGAAACAAACTTAGCCAAGGAAATACATTAACTTGACCCCAGAAAAGTGATAATCAAATTAATTTTGTATTATCAAATTTATAATCAGTCCATGCAAACTCTATACCAATTCTCGTACAAGTATAAAGTATTCCTCGGCTTTTGCCTAATAGCCAACAAATGAGTAATTGCTCGCAAAAATTGTCGCAAAACACTCATTTCGTTCAACCTGCTCGGCTATTGTGCAGAGGGAGTATGCTCAGTCGAAGAAACTCTGATGCTTAAAGTTAGACAAGTTTTTGGAGAAAATTTGATAGAGTTTTAAATTTTAATAGTAAGGATTGCTCTCTGGAAGTCTTTGGCCACCTTGTATTTATAGGAAATTACTAGGTTCGGGGCTGATAGTAACTTCATTGGATAGGGTCAGGTGATTACTCATTAAGTTCTTATTGGCTGGGATGATTGACATGCTTGCTTGGAACTGGAAGGGAGCGTTGCACTAGTTACATGCCTGGCACGCTTATCTCATCAGCTCAGCCACTCTTGAGGAATGAGCTCGACCATCTGTTAAAGCATGAGATCAGCTACCCCAAGGCTCTCCTCTCTCCCCCCTTTTTAGCTAACCACCATCCACTTCATTTTTCACCTTGAATTAGTCAAAGCCAAAAATATGATGAATAGAAGGAAAGGAGATCAGAAAGATGCGCAAACGACTTGACTATAGTATAGGTTGGATGTTTTCGTGAGCAATAAGCAGCAGATCTCCCCTTATTTTGGGAAAGCTGGCGGCCGCGTGTGAATTCTTTCAAGGCAAGGGGCGGCCTGATTCGACATTGTTGTTTACTCTGATCCGGTCGAGGTGGTTTTCGTTTACNTAGAAGGAAAGGAGATCAGAAAGATGCGCAAACGACTTGACTATAGTATAGGTTGGATGTTTTCGTGAGCAATAAGCAGCAGATCTCCCCTTATTTTGGGAAAGCTGGAGGTGCCGGATTTAACCTTCTTAGCCACATCAGTTTGGTCGATTTTGAAATGTCTAGTCATCTTGAGCACAACAAATCGGGTAAGTCTAAATTGTTATATTTATGTCAGATAAGACCACTTGTTGATGTTGAATGGTATGTGGCATGGGTTGCTAGCCATGGTGCTGACGTAGCACTCACCTTTGTAAATTCCTTTTCAATATCCTAGCTTTCAAGACAGTAATTTAGCTGACACAAGCTCAAGCATCTCGTGAGGCATGAGCTTAGACACTTTGTGGCTTCATTCGCCAGTTGATTTTAGCCTTCATTTCCACATTTATTTGATCAGTTCTAAAATGCCTAGTAGGTTTCCTTATGAAAAGTACAAATAAAAATCAAATCTTTAAAAACATAATAAACCGATAGATTATATCCATATTGAAAAGCAGAAAATGTTGCAACCTTTGCATTTTAAAATTTCCTATAATTATATGATACTGCTAACTCAATCAGATATTTATTTTAAAAAGTTAGATAAAAATGCTAAAAAAAAGTCCAAGATCTATAGATTTACAGTACCTCGGCTTTGGCAGAGGAGGCGCCACCCAGATCCCCCATGTGAATTTCACTCCCCTCAGTGTCCATCATAATGGCCACCGCATAACCCTTTGCTTCATTCAAGCTCCTGACGCGCTGTATCACTTCTCGATGCCACTCGCGCGTGCCATGGCACATATTGATCCGAGCCACGTTCATTCCGCCAACGGCCAACGCCTCGAGCTGCTCCGCGCCGCACGTTGCCGGCCCAATCGTGCATGTCAGCTTCGTCCTTCGAGTGCTCCGGAACCCATTCTCCTTCAGCTCCGCCTCCGTCACGGCATCAACATCAATTGAACTCGGATCAGCCACCGCAGGCGCAGCGGAAATAGCCTGGTCCTGCAGTGAAGCTGATAATACCCCTCCGGGACCATTATCGGAAGCTTTAACGACAAGGGAGGTTTTCCGTAGGGTTCTGGTAACCGGCAAAAGGGAAATGCTGGCAGGAAATGGGAGGGATAGTTTCACGGGTGGCGGGCTAGGGAGTTTTGGGGAGTGGGATGCGGAAATAAAGACACTGATAGAATGCGACATTTTTTTAGTGGCGGAGCTCCGTCGTACAGCGGCGGTGAATTCTGAAAAACGGTGAATTATATATAGGCGAGGGCGGAGAAAGCAAAGGAAAGGAGTGGAGATTGCAGGGAAATGTCGTTGCGACTTAGGTGGCAAATTTTGGGCTTGATGGGCCGGGTGGCTTGTCGGTCCAGGCCGTGGGATATGGCCCAAAGAAAAATTAGTAATCTATAATATATTAAAGAGAAACTTACAAAAATACTTTTAAAATTAGAAGTATTTAGAATTCCACATTATTTGGAAAAATATTAACGATCCACTTAATAAGATGAGGGCAATCTTCTCCTAATAAGTCGGTTTTATTAGGT